GGCACATATCATTAGCCCCAGCATTTGGCAGACAGGCAAATCTCTGTAAGATCAAAGCCAGCCTGGTCTACATAGTGGGTTCCAGGTCAGCTGGGGCTACAGGGAGATCCTGTCTCAAAGAACAACAACAACAAAACGAAAAAACAGCAAAACAAAAAAAAAAACAAAACAAATGAAGAAAAAAAATCTCTACAATAAACTGGAATTTCTAAGATGTTTTATTCCATTTTCAAAATGTTTTTTCACTAGTAATGGCTAAAAGCTGTCTACTTTAAATCCTCTTTAAAAAATCTTTGAACTTAATTCAACAGTTGACTACAAAAAACATTAGTTTCACATAATTACATAACTAAAATACTCATGGTCAAAGTATTAAAATTAAAAACTTTCCACATGCAAACTAATCCTTAATTCCCTGAAACTACTAAACTTTCTAAGTAGAAGGTATAATATGGCTCAGACAAGAATTTGAGTTTAATTTAGTTGAAAAATTAAAAGGCACATCTATTGCCTAAATATACTTGAAGCACTGTTATTAGTCAAAAGCTTTTTTTTTTTTTTTTCCTAAATTTCTCCTAGAAGACACAAGCAATCTCTAATAACACCAACAGGGCCACGCATGAATGTAGGCTCACACCTATAATCCCAGTACTCGGAAGGTTGAGGCAGGAAGACTGCCATGAGTCTGGGGCCAGCACAGGCTGTAAAATCCTGTCTGAAAAAGACAAAAAAGCTGGGTGTGGTGGTGCATGCCTTTAATCCCAGCACTTGGGAGGCAGAGGCAGGTGGATCTCTGTGAGTTCAAGGCCCCTGGTCTACATAGTGAGTTCCAGGCCAGGTGGGGATACAGGGAGACCCTGTCTCAAAAAGACCAAAAAAAAGAAAAAAAAAAAAGGAAAAAAGCAGTAGGGTAGCATGATATACTAAAAATAAGGACTTTGGGGGCTAGAGAGCTAGCTGAGTCTTTATTTAGCTCTCTGAAGACATTTCCTGCACCACCACTCCTTAGAATGGTTGTGACTGGTTTGGTGCAATAATAACCACAGGGGTCATAGCAGAGTAAACAAGGAAGATTGTGGGAAAGAGGGTGGATTAGAGTAAACCTTAGGATCTAGCATCAGTAACATCTGATTGATTGACTGACTGACTGACTGATTGGACTCAGAAGGAAACCAAGAGCCAAGAAAAATTAGCCACTTTATTTTTTTTTTCTTCCAGTTTAGGCTGACTCATTGAACTAGGGAAAAGAGAAAGAACTTAAGAGTTCTGAGTAGCACATAAGTCTAGTTTGAAAGTACTGTGATGCCTATGGACATGCTCAACAGACAAACAGAAATACAGATGTAGAGACAGGAGAAAGATCTGTGAGTCATTTAGCAAGGCAAGGGACAAGACAAGGAAAAGTAGGACCTACTGAAATGCAGAAACAACATGTACGGTAACTTCAGAGGAAAAGAGGGCACAAGGCATCCTGGCACTCACTCTTCAAGAAGCAAGAGGGAGCTTGGGAATGTAGGCATTGACAGAAAACGGGAGAGAACAGAGAGGAAGAGGAACTGCGATTGTGAGTCTCAAGAGTGTGGTGTAGGAAACTAGTAACAAAAGATTGCAAAAATTCTGTTTGGAGAAAAGAACACAGAAGAAGAGAACAGAGAAAAACTGTAGTCATCCAATAATGGACTTAGACCAAACAACAGAATATATAAATAACACAAACTTCCATCTAGTTAATAAAGAACTCAATTTTCTTTAAATGTGGGGTTCCCAGACACTAACAGTGCTTCAGTAGGTCCCACTGCTGGGTAAGATGCTGGATGAGACGACTTGAGTTTTCTTCCAATTAAAGTGAATTTCAAGGATTAAACTAAATCTGAAGTATTTTGCAATAGAGAGAACAAAGATGGAACAAAACAGCTTTTAAATACTTAGAAGCTAATATAAACTAATACATAAACTAATAGTTCTATGAAGTTTAAAACATTATTGTCAATTAATCCTAAGTAAAACACATAAGGAAGATCAGGCATTTTAATCTCACTAATCCAATAAAACATTCAAGATGATAAAAAAAACTTTTAAGTCTTCAAATTTTACATTTGATTTTTAGCTGTAATAATTCTGTATAACAGCATTAAAACCTACTGGTCAGTTTTCATAATTTTATACTACTAAAAAATTATTTTTCCTCTTTATTTATTTGAAGTTCAGACACAGAGGCATTGTTTAAGCATTGTTTAAAAGTTATTTCCAGGGCTTGAGAAATGGCTCAGCAGTTAAGAACACTGGCTGTTCTTGCAGAAAACCTGGATTCGAATCCCAGCACCCACATGGTGGCTAACAACTGTCCGTAACTCCGGTTCCAGGGGATTCAACAGTCTCTTCTGTCCTCTGAGGGCATTGCACGACACAGGTGCACTTACCTACATGTAGGCAATACACGCGTACACATAAAATAAAAATAATAAATGAAAAATTTTTTTAAAGTTATTTCCAATGGCAGATATTTCCCACTTGACTCTACAGAACCATTCTCTGACCTAGGAGACCTACATACAGCACCAGCAGCCTAGGTTAGCTGTGGCTTCCATCCTAAGGTGGGTCTACTGATGGACCCTGCTAAAGAGTTCTCACGGGTACCTCCAATCCTTATTGGTTTAGGTAACCACTCCCTTCCCTTGTTCCTTTTAGATCTAGACGTGTTAAGAGTTTCCTGACAGTTGCTAGCTAGCCTGGTCATCATTATCTGCTGGATTCCCTTAACCTTCTCACATTTTGTAAATAACCTCTCCATTAAATTATTCTCTATTACAAGGTTCCTGCTAGAGCCCTAGTAATAAAGTTGTTGTTGATGTTTTCAATACGGATGATGTAAACTATAGCCATTAAAGAAATACCTTACAAGAAATGAGCCACCATCACTAGCTTTTACAGTTTTTAGTCAAGACAACTAAATTACCCTTAAGAAGGGAGAATAAAAATCATGAACTTAAAAACGGTTGAAAGGAAAAATTACTTGTAAATTTTACTGAGATTAATAGTGAACAATTCTTGCTTTGCTTTGTCACATCCCATATCTAAACCATTGTTCTTTCTAGATCTGTTTCCAAAGTCTATTCAAAATACTGCTTCACTCTCTAGGCCAATAACATTTCAACATTTCTTGCCTACCTTTTTTTTTTTTTTTGAGACAGAGTCTCCCTGCAGCTCCAGCTGGCCTGGAACTCACTATATAGACCAGGCTGGCCTCGAACTCACAGAGATCCGCCTGCCTCTGCCTCCTAAGTGCTGGGACTAAAGGCGCCACCACGCCCAGCTCTCTTGCCTACATTTTTAAGAGTCCTGCAATCAGAGAAAAATTTTTTTAAAGATTTATGGTTATTTTTATTTATATGTGTGTGTGCGCGCGTGCCATGTGTGCAAGAGGTGAAAAGAAAGCATTGGAATGCCTGGAACTAGAATTACAGGTAGTTGTGTGTTGCCTGGCATGGGTCCTAGAACTGATCTGGGGTCCTCTAGAAGAGTAACAAACACTCTTAACCAGCAAGTGCTCTTAACCATTGAGCCATCTCTCCAGTCCTTAATCAGAGAAATCCTACTAAAAAGGGTTAGCAGGGCTGGGGAAATAGCTCAGTTGCATGTACAAACCCATGGGTTCAATTCCCAGCACCACATAAAACTGAGTGTGGTGGTACATATGTATAATCCCCATACTCAGGAGACATAGAAAATCAGGAAGTTCAAGGTCATCCTCAGCTACATAAAACGTTTGAATTCAACACGGGATACAACAACAACAACAACAACAACAACAACAACAAATGTATTAAGGGCTTGGGCTATAATGCACTGCTGTAACACATGCTTTAGGCATGTATAAGGCCCAGAGTTAATTGTCAACACCAATATGTACAAAGGCATTAATTGATACTTTTCTTTTTAATTTAAGTGTCTGTGCCTGCATGAGTTTATGCACACTATGTGCATGGAGTTAACTATGGAGGCCAGAAGAGGGTATTGGTTCCCCAAGAACAGGAGTTACAAGCAACTGTGAGCCAGTCACCTGATGTGAGTGCTGAGAAGAGAACCTGGGTCACCTGCAACAGCAGTAAGCCTCATAACTGCTATGTTGTCTCTCCAGCCTTGATACTTTAAAAAAAAAACCTCTCTACATAGTGAGTTCTAGTCAGCCAGAGCTACATAGTTGAGAGCCTGTCTTTAAAAAGATAAAATAAAAAAAAAAAAAAATCAAGACTCTTGAAAGATAGCAATTTGAACATATATCAAAGATATAAACTGAATTAATTACTGATGGAACTGATTCACAGGGAAATTCCCAAGAAGTGCACATACATAATAAGGAATTCTGAAGAAAATTTGGAAATTGTTGCAAAACAGGAGAAGAAATCAACTGCATGCCACTGGACACAATTTGCATTTCTACTAATAAAGTTTAAATGTATTTTTAGCTTAATTTTTCTTTTATTTTTATTTTATGTGTATGAGTGTATTGCCTGCATGTTATGTAAGTGCACCTATGTCATGCAGTGCCCATGGAGATCAGAAGAGGTCCTCAGATCCCCTGGAACTAGAGTTATGGATGATTGTTAGCCACCATGTGGATGCTGGGACTCAACCTGGGTCCTCTGCAAGAGCAGCCAGTGCTCTTAACCTCTGAGCTATGTCTCCAATCCCTTTTTTTTTTTTTTTTTTTTTGCCCTAGTAAAATGCCCACAAAACCTGCCATCATAACCATTTAAAATATACAGTTTAATGGTACTAAATGCATTCATAATGTTGTATAACCATCACCACCATTCATCTTTAGAACTCTTTCCATCCTGTAAATTAAACAATAATGCTCCATTCCTTCTTCCCATCAGCCACTGGAAACTACAATTCCATTTTCATCTCTATTTTAGATGTCTTTTTGTGGCTGGTTTGTTTCATTTAGCATGTCCTCAAGATCCATCTGTGTTTCAGTATATGTTGTAAAATCTTACTTTTAGACAGGGTTTCACTGTGCCAACCTGGAACATGCTCTGCAGATCAAGATGGTCTTGAACTTGCAGCAGTCCAATCCTCTCACCTCTGCCTTTCTCCTACTGAAATTACAAATATACACCACCTTGACTTGGCTTGAATTTCTTCCTTTAAAAGTAAGTATTCTAATGGTGGTGCATGCCTTTAATCCCAGCACTCGGCAGGAGGCAGAGCCATCTACTCTATATATCAAGTTCTAACTGAATATAGGAAGTTCTGGCTACAGAGAGACCCTATCTCAAAACAAAACAAAACAAAACAAAACAAAACAAAACAAAACACCAACCACTAGATGGATATATTACATTAATTTTTGGAAAAACTACTATGCTGTTTTCCGTAACAGCAATACCGTTTACCCACATCTTCAATATTTGTTCTTTTCTGTTTTAATAGTAATCATCCTAGTGATTACCAGGTGGTATCATTACAATTTTTATTTGCATTCTCTCATAATTATTTCTTCATGTGCTTATTAGTAATTTGTATATGTTCTTTGAGGTAAATATCTGTTCAAGTACTTGGTCCTTTTTTTTTTTTTTTTTTTTAAGTAAAGCTGCTTTTGGGTCATTGAGTTTCAGGATTTCTTATATAATTTAGATACTAATCTTCTATCACCTATAAGGTTTGCAAACATTTTTCTCCCATTAATATTTTCTCTTTTACTGCTGTGGTTTTGGTAAAGGCAGGGATGGGGGTGGTTGGTGAGACAGCACCAGGCTATGAAGGACAGAAAGGCTTTAAATTTGCAACTCTCTGGGGAAAAAGAATGTAGGAGCCTGAGGAAGGGGTAGAGTGTTACCAGGAAGTGTCCTCCACACCATGCCCTCAAGCTATAGTCACACCTCCTTTTCAGTTACCCCTCACACCCAGTCAACCTTAGCTGCATGTGGGGGAGGGGTTAAGGAAATATAAGCACCAAGAAGCACCTCTCTTACCTTTTGTGTAGCTGTTGGGAAGTCACAGGACCTATAATTGAGCACAGCGGTAAAAAAAAAAAAAAAAAAAGAACAGAGCTAATATAAACCTGAATTACTTTACCAAAGTTGACCCCATGTTGGCAAATCCTTTGGTCTTTGATTTCTTATTCCTATTTTCTCCCCACTCAAGCTTCAGTGTATACATTTTTATATAACCTGCCTCAAGCTATTTCTGGAAAAATGTGTTAAAAATTGCCTCTCTTTGGAATATTAAAAATATTCTAAAATTAAAAAAAAAAAAAATTGCAACTCTCCTAACTCAGCCTTCCAAATGCTAGAATTACAGGAAAGCACCATTATGCCTGGCTATGAAATTGCCTTCTGATGCTAAAACTGTAACTCACCATGAAGTTAGCCTATTATTGTTTTTATTATTATTTTATTATCTGCATCTCAAGTATCTAAATAATTGAAATGTGTTTCCATATATTTGGGTGTTTGTTAATATAGTTCAGCAAACTGTTTAACAATGCTGGGGATTGAACCCAGAGCCTTACACATATTAAACAAGCACTCTACCACTGAGCCTAAAACATGTTTCATTTTACAAGTCTTTAACCTCCACCTATGTTTTATAGTTTTAATTATACAAGTTTTACTTATCTCCCTGGGTAGTTTCTAGGTATTTTTTTTCTTTCCTTTTTTTTTGGTCTTTTTGAGACAGGGTCTCCCTGTAGCCCCAGCTGGCCTGAACTCACTATGTAGACCTACCTGGTCTTGAACTCTCAGAGCTCCACCTGCCTCTGCCTGAGATTAAAGTCATGCACCACTACGCCTGCCTGGTATTTTATTCTTTCTATTACTGTAAATGGAATTGTTTTTATTTCTTTTTCAGTATTGTCAGTGGATACTGATACTGTGCCCTGCTACTTTGCTAAATTTATTAGTCCCCGATGTTCTTTTTATGAAACCTTTAGAGCCACATTAAAGAGCCTATCTGTAAACACGATGACTTTATACCTTCTTTTCCTACTTGGACACCTTTTATTCTTCCTTTTGCCTAACTGCTCTGGCTAGTATTTCTAGTATTATAATGATAAAAATGACAAAACCCAGAGTCTTTGCCTTGTTCCTCATCTAAAGGAAAAGTTTTCAGTCTTCTACCATTTAGCAAGATGCTCACTACGAATTTCTCATGCATTGCTTTTGTTATGTTGGGGTGGTTTTCTTCTCTTTCTAGTGTATTGACAGTTTTTAATTATGGAAAGACATTGAATTGTGTCAAATGCTTTCTCTTCCATCAAGATATTTGTATTTTTTTCTTTCAATATGTTAATATATTACTATATAGATCACATTTTGCTATCTGTTAAGCCATTCTTGCATTTCAGGAAAATAATTCCACTTGTCCATGGTGTATAAAACTTTATTGCTGAATTGGTTTTCCTGTTATTATGCTGCTAAATTGGTTTGCCAATAGTTTACTGAGATTTATGCATCAATGTCTGTGATTCAGTTGTGCTTTCAGCAATTTTCTAAAACTTAAAGTACTATAAAATAGTTCAAAGAAAATGAGGCAGAGATAAATACATTAGTTGAGCTAGACAGAACACCCACTTGTGTTTTGCCAACTTCAAAATGGCTCTCTTTTTTTTTTTTTTCTGATAAAATGCTGAATGGGTCTCCTTAATTCCTTGGGAACAAAGCTTAAAGACTGCTGACCTATAAGATTCCCCATTTTTTGTTATCACTGTCCACTCCCTCATTCCACTACTAATAATGTACTTTATATTTTTCTTTCTGTACTCTATTCCAGCCACATTGTCTCTTGGCTTTTGGGATACACAATGTCCCTGCCTCAGGGCTTTTTGCAACTACTGTTCTCTGTATCTGTAATTTTTCATAAGGTACCTACATAGATTGCTTCTTCTTTTGGGGTATGTGGGGGGGGGGGTGGAGAAGTCAGTGTTAGGAACCCAACCCCGGGCTTTGTATGTATTAAGCAAGCATTCTACCACTGAGCTATAACCCCAACCCAAGAATGTTTCCTCTCTTGTCACAAACCAATTTATTTAGAGGACTATTCTGAGCACCCTATATAATACAAGAGTTTTACCACTTACCCTACAAATACACTCTGTTTTCTTATTTCTTTACTATGCTGTTCTGTAATTTATCAATAATTGGTAATATAAAGTGCCTTCAATTTTTGATTCTCCACTGATTGCCACCACAAAATATAAACTCTGTAAGGGCAAAAGACTTTGCCAAATGCATATTAAATTCTCAATAAATTTTAGTTAAATGAACAAATACCCTAATAGTGGATGCTGGGAGCCAACAGTTGCTTAAGTCAGATTACACTGAAACCACCTCAGCTTGCACCATTTCTCTCAGAAACCAGGTGGCCTCACTGGGGTTGAGCAACCCTAGTAACCTTAGCAACACTTCCCCCTTTTACAGATTACTTCATTCTTGAAATTTCCCCACCCCAGCTTCGCTTCCTCCTTTTACTTGTTATATAGCAAACAGAAAAATAAAAATTTCAGAGCTTGATCAGACCACCTGTCTTGCTCTCATTTCTTGTGTCTCTTGTCCTTCCATTCGTTGGTTCTCTCCTCAGGTCCACGTTGAAGACCCCGCTGGCCGGGGGCAAGTGGATATTGTTTAAAATAACCATGTTTGGGGCTGGAGAGATGGCTCAGTGGTTAAGAGCACTGACTGCTCTTGCAGGGGACCCAGGTTCAATTCCCAGCACCCACATGACGACTAACAACCATCCATAACTCCAGTTCCAGAGGAATTAGATGCTCTCTTCTGACCTCCACAGGCATTGTACCACACAGGTGCACTTACAAACATGCAGACAATATACTCATACACATAACAGAAATAATAAATACAATAGGTGTGGTGGCACACGCCTTTAATCCCAGCACCCTACAATCTAGGCAGAGGCAGGTGGATCTCTGTGAGTTCAAGGCCAGCCTGGTCTACATAGTAAGTTCCAGGCCAGCTGGGGCTACAGGGAGACCCTGTCTCAAAAAGACCAAAAGATAAAATAAATAAAATAAAATAAAATAACCATGTTTAGTCAGGTATGGTAGCATATGCTTACAATCCTAGCACTTCAAACACTAAGGCAGGAGGGCCAGCTCAAATTGGAGGCCAAGCTGGGCCTCAAATAAAGGAGACTCTTTTTTAAAAAAAAAAAAGTCTATTCATAAAATTCCTGAATTTCTACAACATGAAAATGTTAAAACTACACCCACATAATCTTCCATATTTACTTATTATTATACTGTCATATACTGACAGCTATTTCATGAAAATGTCTTGAAATTTAGGGTACAGCTGGGTGTAGTGGCGCACACCTTTAATCCCAGCATTTGGGAGGCAGAGGCAGGCATCTCTCTGTGAGTTCGAGGCCAGCATGAATAACATAATTGAGTTCCAGGCCAGTTGGGGCTATGGAAGACGTTGTTTCAAAAGACCGAAAAAAGCCAGGCGTCTTGGTGGCACATGTCTTAAGTCCCAGCACTTAGGAGGCGGGCGGGGCGGCGGGGGGATAATTTAGAATATCAATATCACAAAATTTCTTTTAGAAAAAAAAATTCTGTCACACAGTTGTCAAAGCTGGCAAGCACATCCCCAAGGCTGTGTTGATGGCAGATGTCTACTTTTTCATACTATGCAGACTCAAGCACAACCACTTAGAATGTATTTGCATCCAATGTGGTAAGAGCTCAAAGTTGTTAACCATGCTCCGTCACTTCCTCCACTGGATCACTCTAAGTACCTGCAGTTTTGAGAGAGGTCTAAGTGAGGGTGAACCTGCTCTATGATTGGATAATTATCCCTGTTATACTTCTGATTCTAAAATCTTAAGCTCTTTTAGTTTTTAACATCAGAAGGTACCACTTTATCTCTCATATATAATCCCAACATCAACTGAAAATAGTTACTTCAGCTAAAACAGGAATATTTGTATAAATAGTAAAAAGCATAACTTGAGAACATCACAAGCTACTAAAATGACGGTTTATAAACAATGCTAGTTTTTTCCACCATTCTTATTTTTCTTTATAATAACTGACTCACAAATTACTTTGAAAAGAAATCAATGAATGAAAAAGCTCATCCTTTTCTTCAACTTGTAAGGATAATGCCATTGTAAAGATTTTTTTAATTCGTCTGGTAAATAGGCTAAAATTGTTTAGGATTAAATTTGGCAGCACATGTGTTTTCACACTTTAAGTAAAATGCCAGAAATGAATGTGTTTACCTTAATACTAAGAAAGTCTTGTGGTAAAGGAAAATATTCAGAACTCTTCCTCTCCCCCAAATACTCAAGTTAGGAAGCAATGAATGCTGGTTCCTCCCAGATGGCCCTGATCATATCTGCTTTGTAACAATAGGATACCAAATCATTCAAGAGTTTGATGCAAAGTTATTTGGAAAAATAAAACTTATTCATTTGAAACAAGTATCTCTCTTCAAATTATTGAAATTGTATTGGGATGATTTCAAATAAGAAAAACTTTGTACAAAAAAGCTTAAACTAAAGCAAAAATTACTCCATCTGAATATCTGTGGGGAATACAGTGCTACTTCTGTATTAACCTAGTCCCAGCACTAGGGAGGCAGAGGCAGGCGGATCTCTGTGAGTTCAAGGCCAGCCTGGTCTACACGGTGAGTTCCAAGACAGCTGAGGCTACAGGGAGACCCTTCTTCAAAAAAAAAAAAAAAAAAAAAAAAAAAACTTCATAACATTATTGTAGCTTTTTTTTTTTTTTCACAGAGTAGGTGAAATGAGATACACAGCATAAAAATAGGCAAGAAATTATATCATTTAGGGCACAGTTAGTATTTTATAAGAATTTTGGTTATCTGAAGATTTTAAAAAAAAAAACACCTGAAATATCCTAAAGGAGTTAGGGTTTTTAAAAAAACATAACCTAAACATTTATGAATAAGGCTTCAGATGGCCACAGATACAGCCAAATATTGAGTCCCTTTGCAAGAACCAGTCTCCTCAAGCAAAGTACT